CACTCACCTCAGCCTCCCAAAGGCGCGGGATTACAGGCTGAGCCACCGATCCCGGCTTGTGCTCACATCTTAAAAACTGTACCTGAAGCAGGAGCTTAGGGCTCCCCTGGCTTCTCTTTGGGGGGTTCTCAGATGGAGGGGTGGAGAGCACAGTGGCTAGAGCAGGTTCAGGTACCTGACCTCCTGGGTTCTAACCTGGCACCTCTGCTTCAAGACACATGACCTAGGTAAGTGGACCCCATGGCAGGTGCTGATCCACAGGCATGTAGGGACTAAAGTCACAGAGATAAACTGTCTGGCCAGTGTGGCCACTGTGCATGGATGCACTCTGCCTCGCCTGTGCAAGTAAGTCTCCAGATGCCACCTCCCTGCAGTGCTGCAAATATACTCAGGGAAACCAGTCAGTTTTGTGGCCCTTTGCTTCCCTGTTCCTAAAAGCAAAAGGGTACGATGGAAATGCAGAGGTGGGGACTGGCACCAACCTTCTGGATGTCTGTGATGTCCACCAACTTGATGACTTTGTTCCTCTTTGAAGACCCAGATTTGGAGCTTTCGAAGCACAAGTAACTAGAAGAGAAGAAACGGACACAGGAACAACCTAGCACCTGAACCAGAGTGTGGTGCTTGCTAAGTGAGGGGATTTCCCACTGGGATGGACGGCCACACTCCTCCCACACCAAACACAGTGCCTGGAAGAAACTCAAGACCACTGTTCTGTGCTAAATCTAAGGTTTCCATTCCCAGGATGCTGGACCCCTCAGCTTCCGAGCAAGAAAGGCGGGAGTCCTGGAGGTTTGTCCAGGAGTCTCCCGGGCCAACTTCTGCAATGTATAGTGGACAGAGTAGCCAAGGGCCCAATGAGGCAGAGAACAGACCTTACCCCCTGGGGCAGGTCTCTCACCTTCTACACCTGGGGTTTCGAGGTGGGAGTAGGAGGTAGTGAGGATAAGCCCTGTTCTAGCAGAGAAAAGTCAAAGCCTTCGTTGGGTTGCTACATCTCAAACAGACAGCAATAAGAACCCAGGGCCTTGGCTCCAGCAAGTCACTGCACAATCCCCTCCTTGGGATCTGCCTCTCTACCCGCCAGGAGCCCAGACAGCCAGGAGAAAGGAGAATCTGCTCACCGGGCCCAGCTGCCCAGAGCCCATCACGCCTCCTCCCACCCCAGTCATGCTCCGGCCATGCTCAGGACCTGTGGCTTTACTCACTTCTCCGTCACGTACAGCACCCCATTCCTGATATAGTCTGTTGGCATCTTCCGGTCCCTGTTTATCAGGCAGCAGCGCCAGCCATTCTCACACACTAGCAGGGAGGAGACACACTTGTCATTTTCCCACTGGGAACACCCATCCTTTAATGATGCTGGGACCCACGAGCACTGACTTTTCACAGAGATTCTGACATCCTCCTGCTGCCCTCAGATACAGCTCACAGCTAGAGGAGGTGGGCCGTCAAGGGTGAGGCAGTGTCTAAGAGTGTCTGAGAAAACAGATGTTTCCGCTCTACAGGCACAGGCGGGGTTTCTAAAGCGGAAGTGCCCCGGCTGGACAGTGAGTGACAGAAACCAAATGCGGCCTGTAGCTCCACAGGTGTGGCCGGCACTAAGGCAGCCCAGCAGGATGAGGGCCAACAGAAGACCAAATCTCAAATCCTCCAGAGCTTTCTTTTGTGGCTGCTCATCATACAATATGAACAGCTTCCAATTTAGGAGCTTGGTGGGAGGTCCTTTCTGACTAGGCCCCAGGCTTCCTAGTCTCTTTTCAGCGGGTGGCTCTCTTATTTCTCCAGACATGCTCAGAGCCAGGGGACAGACCTCCAACCAGCACCCTGCAGGCCTGGACACTGGCTGTGGGGCTCCCGACAGCCAGTCAGCACTGTGTTGCATGCTGGGGACTGCCCCGACCAGGCTCTTCTGAACTTCTGCTGTTAGTTTAATTGTGTGTTGCAGGAAAGGTCTACTCTACATGGGCACACCCTCCCCGCTGTGGCCTGGGGAGTCTCCTTGAGGCCCAGGCTCCTGCACTGCCTTCCTCAGGAAGTGAGACGTGAACACCCTCCCCATCGCTCCTTCTGCTTGTGGAGTGGGGGGGTCATCTCTCCTGCACTGCCTATATCGCCACCCCGGCCGTCAGTCTGTGCCTGTGTCTGGCTGGGTCACGTACTCAGGGCACACATACCTGCCAGAGGACGTTCATTTTCTGTCAGGTTAAAGATTTCATGGAAATTGCCCTTCTTGGTGCTGTGGAAGCGGCCGGCGTCTTCCTCTTTACTCAGGCCGGCCGGCGTGCTGGACACATAACTGCGTGACGAGGTCGTCTGAAGCTGCCAACATCACATATCGTGGTGGTCAGGCCTCCCGCCCACACCAGGATACAGACTCAGACGTGCTCACAGACATGTACACCCTCTCGCTGGCTGTAGCCCAACTGTGGGGGTGACATCCCCCACAGACCCCTGCCGGGGCTGGTTCTGCTCCACCTTCTTCTGGACAGAGCCGCCCCTCTGGTGGGGAGACCCCAGCAACACCCCCACCTTCTCATCCCCTGTTGCGGCGGCTGAGCTGCACCCCAGCACATGCAGTCCTGGCACATACAGTCCCAGGACACTGCTGGCCAGCATGTGGACTGCACCGAGAGCTAAAATCCACGTGAGAACATCCGAGTCACAACACAGCAATGGCACTGCATCAGGTCACAGCAGGCCAAGGGGGCTTCCACACAGACACGGTACCTTGTCATGCCCTGACAGCTGGCCAGAAAGGAGACGACAGACACATGTGACCGGGACAAAAGAAAGATCGGGGTCCACGTGACATAACAACATAAGCATACTGAGCAGAACTGTGAGGCTGTGAGCCAACAGGATGCCCCCACTCCCCTGAAGCCGAGACCCTATCCTCACGCCCCTTGGCTTTCTCTGCTGAGAGTGACCAGCGCTAAGCCATCTCAATCCCCAGGAAGGCCCCTGTCCCAGCTGCCCCGGAGCCAACATGGGCCCATCTCCTTCCACAATGACGGGGAGCAAGCTGCCTGCCTTCATGCCTCGTGTGCACGCTGCCATGTGCATACCTAGGGCCCATCAGGTAGGCTCCCAAGGAGCAGGCTGCTCTGTGCCCAGCTGGGCTGTCCCATGGCTGAGTTCAGGTTCCTAACAAACTTTGTTGTCCCAGGACCCAGGACCATGACTCATACCTAACCCAGAGTTTCACTCCCACCAACAGAGGCACCAGCAGACAACCTCTCTTTAGAGGACCCTCATACACAGGATTGTGTGCCAACCTTACCTCCTACAGGAAGCCCTTCTAAATCTCCTGAGAAGAACTCTGCTGGGCCCAGAACCTCCCTACTCATCTCAGAGGCCCCAGAGAGAGTACCTAGGCCTGCTCATCTCCTATGTCCTGGCTTGGGACACTGCCTAACGCCCCTAAGACCTGCCACTATAAATGAAATATGGCTCCGTACCAGCTTGTGAGCCCAAGGTGAGCCCTTCTCAGGTGCTGCTTGGTCTTGATGCTGGAGTCTCATGGTCAGGGACAGTAGGGGGCCTGGCATCCGCCTGGGGAGTGGTCACTCCCAGGCCCCTTGGTTCTCAGCAGTCACGACCAATGCCCCACGCCCTGCCTGCCCTCGACCTGGCTCAGTGGGATCCAGCTTCCACCAAGTCTTGGAGAGAGTGTCCTTGAGAGGCCTTTAGGCAAGAGGGGCTCTGGCCTAGTCCTAAGTGCTGCCCTGGGCTTGGGAGGGGCCACTTGATCCCTAACAGACCAATGAGGGAACAGATGAGCTTAGAAACAGCAGTGCCTGAAGACAGGCACCATGTTTCAAGGGCTACATAAAATCTAAAGGCTGTCAGCTTCCAAATGAGCTGAAAGAAAACAGACACCTGTGGCCCGGGATTCACAGGCTTCATGGTCCCTTTGTGTCCCTCTCCAGCCAGAGACTGGGACTCACCCTGCGCGACACGGCGGCACTGGAGCGCTCCTTGAGCTGGGGGTCCGTGGGGAGGCTCTTCCAGATGATGTAGGGTGTGTCGTACTTGGCTCGTAGTCTCGGGCAGCGTTTAAAGATGAAATCGATGAGGAAAAACTTGATGCCAGCATAGAGCCCTGCGAGCAGGAAGGACATAGCCGTTCCAGTCAGAACTTAGCGACTGTGCCTGTCTGCCACCTCCTGTCTTCCAGATCTGCACCCTCCAACCTTGAGCCCAGCCCAGCCCAGCCCAGCCCAGGCTTTCCCAGATGTGAGTCAGGGACCCCAGCTCAGTCCTCATCCCCGTCCCTCCCCCAGCCTCACTCTCCTGGGGGCTCATCCAGCCGCATGGTTTGAAAAGCAGGTACGGTCGGATTCTGCATATTCAGACCTATGGCCAGGCTGCTCTCTGAACTCTGCACACCTTCCCACCCCAGAATCAAACAATATGTCCCCTTCCCTGGTTTTCCACTCTTCACCTTCCTCTTGGCTTTGAACTGCACCAACATCTATGCAGCAGTTCAGGGAATGCCCTCAACATCCCCTTGGACCCCTCCCTCATTCCCATCCCTTCCACCTGCAAATCCATGGCTCTGCCTTCTAAACAGGTCAGACCCACCTCGACGACCCATGGCAAGTGCCAGCTGGGGCCATCCTCAGCCCCTCAGCCAGTGCCCCGCCCACTCCCACCAGGCCACGCCCACTCCCACCCAGGCCCCACTCCTCAGTCCAGGCTCTACTGCTCTGCTCCAGTACTTCCTCACTTCTCTCCCCAGCTTTGCACTGGCCCTGGGCTGCTCTTGACCCACCTAAAACACACTTCCGACATGTCCCTCCTTTGCTCAAACTCCCTACACTTGGCACAGAATTCAAGGCCTCTCCAAGTCACAGTCCCTCCCCAACTCCATCTCCCAGCCCCCCTTCACCTGGGTGCTGTCCCCACACCCATGGCCCATCCCTCCTGAGAGGCCTTCTTTGGCCACCTGTTCCCCCACCCCTCGTTGGCTCCAATCTCCCCAGCTCTGTTTTCTCCCTGGCACTGTTGCCTGACAGTGTTTGATTTATCAGCTCTGTCCCTCCAAATAAAACACAGCCTTAGAAGGACGGTGCCTTGCTGTGCCCAAGTACAAACTAGTCGCCCAGGGAAGCACCAGCCTGTACCCCATGGCTCTATCCAGCAAGAGACTCAGGGACCAGAGGTGGGGTCCCAAGATGCACTCCCCCACACGCATCCCTCTCTGCTGCTACAACTGTTGGGAACTCAGGCGCCCAGGTACCCGCCCTCCCAGTGCTAGGGGCTATTTTGCTGCCCAGAGTGCCCAGGCCAGATGGGGCAGCCTCTCCTCGCAGTGACCCCGGGGGTTTCAGTTTCATGTAATATCTGTATTCTTCTATAAAGGAAATTGGAAAGAACTATACCTTTTTGTTTCGTTTTTTGCCTTTTAAAAACATTTTCACAGAAACTTATAAACCGAGTCAGACTTTTGGACCCAAGTTCCGACTTTTTGATTCTGGAAATATGCTCAGGCAGGGAGGGGCAGGGGTGAGACCACCTGCCTGCTCAGTGGACAGGACTAAACTCCCAGGCCTCCTTCCATGGCACCTACCCACCCAGCTCATGAGGGGCAGCTCAGCTCAAGAGGTTGCAAGTCTCAGCCGGGGCCATCCTCACTCAGAGCAGGCCTCTGGCCCTCTGAGCTCAGGTCTCCCATTGGCAAAGTGGGAGGACACAAGGGCAATGATGATCTTGGTGTGACTGCAAGGACCCAAGCCACACTGGCTGTCACAAAAGATGGCAGGACAGACCCAGGCCACCAAGACCCAGCCAACCATCCATCCACCAGGCTCTCTGAGCCTCAGGGGCCACAACACCTCCTGAGCCTTGGCCTCTAGACCCCGAATATGAGGCTCTGACTCGAGGTCTCAGGCGTCCCCTACATGTCAAGCTTCAAGAGTCCTGGATGCTAGCCAGAGGGGCTCAAGGGCCTTTGGGGAGTAAGGAACTGAGTTTCAAAACCAAAGCCCTGATCAAACCTGGCTGCACCTCATCCCAGTGACGCCACCTGATGAGCCGTGAGGAACTGTCATGTGCTGCCACCACCAGAAAAACTCAGCCCCGCCGTGTCCTCGAAGGAACGTTCCTTCCACCGGTTCAGGCAGGGCAAAGGCACTCAGGGAGAACACCAGGGCCCATCTGCTCTTCCAGCCCATACAACCTTCCTGACTGCTTCTCTAAGCAGCATGCTAAGCCAAGAGCATGTGGGGGGACGAGGTCTGACCCTCTGACATCAGCATGGAGCTCTCCTCTACCTCTTTCTTCGCTGCTCCTACAATTGCACAATCCATCCTACTTGGGCTTAGGCGACTCCCACCCGCCTCACAAGAACAGGACCCCAGCAGTCTCACTCCCACATCCCAGTGCCTGGCCCACATCAAAATATTGTTATGGGCGGGGGTAAGAAGGGGAAAGAAAGGGCAGGGCGAAGGAGGGTGGGAAGGAGGCAAGCTGTTCCCCGTGTGAAGAGGACACCCCCACCCACCTGGTCCTCACCACCAGCTCTCCCTCCTCCTCACCAGAGACAAGTGCTTTAAGTAGATGTGGCCCCTAGTCTCACGTGATGTCACCAAACGTGTCAGCTACTGTCAGCCTCCCTGCACCTCAAACCAGGTTCTCAAACTCCCCCAACCTTCACCCTCAAGCCTGCGGGTGCCCAGAGAAGTGTGTACAACCCAGGGAGACACCCCCATGATACCAGGGTCTGCTAGCCTGGGTCCTGGGCCCACCAGCTCCTGTACTCAGCAGGAAACTGGGAGTGGGGAGCCCTTAGAAGCAGAGGTCATGCTCAAGAAATGGTCATCATGTCCCTAAATCTTGGATGGGTTTCATTTCTCTCAAATGGAAAAGTTCTGACAAAAAACAGAGGAAGGGCAGCCAGGAGAGTTTAACACCCAGCCCTGCTCTTGGGGGCAGCAGACACTCGGCAGACACTGGTAGGACATGGACATCTGTGTCCTCTCTCCCGATACTATGATAAACGTGACTATGTGGGCTGGGCTGGTAGGCCAGGGGGCACATCTCCTTACCCACAGCAAGCCCCACCAGGCGGTAGGGGAAGAAGCAGGAGGCCAGAAAGGCAGCCCAGAGTGCCACGTACAGCTTCTGCGTGATCTCAGGCTGGACCCACATGAACAAGCTGGAAGGAGACAACAGGCTCAGGCAGGGCGGGCGCACTGCCATCGCTGGGGGGGGGATCATGACTTACTTCTTAATCTTTTCCAAGATGTCAGCCATCTTGCCAAAGAGGTTCTGTGTGAAGAGGAAATGGCGATTACAACAGATCACCAAGACGCCAAGAGGGTACCTAGGCTCAGGCAGTCCCTGAGGTCACCCAAAGCCCTGTGGTCCTGTTCTGCTGCTCCTAGGCCTGGTGTGGGAGAGGTATGACCTGGAGCAAAAGTGACCGAGCTCACAGAGACAGCACTCCCAGATTCGAGCCTGCCTTCCCAGGAGTGCTCGACCTCAGCTGGCAGGGGCTCTTCTCCACCCAAGACCCCGGCCCCCCCATCCCCAGGCTAAATTAGGAGGGCCCCTCCCCCACACACCAGACTTGCGGGTCATGACAGACCAAGAGCAGACTGACTGCAGGTCAGCTGACAGTGGACAAACCAGGCCTGGAGATTGGGGTGCTCTCCCCTCCCCACCCCTGGGGCACTGGCCCAGGCCAGCATGGTGATATCCCAGGCTGGCTCTCTGTGGCAGTACCTGGGCTTTCTGGGCGACATCCAGCACCAGCTGGAACTTCTCAGACACAGTCAGGTCTTCCTTTGGAGGTTCCTTCAGTCAAAGGGGAAAGAGAATTTTCCACTGAAATTTAACAGTTCAGAAAAATTACTGGGGGGGAAAAAAACAGCATGCAGGCCTCATGTAGGCCCAAGGAACTGTGGGTCACTCTGCTGTCCTCACAAAGCCAGAAGGGATGGGACAGCCCTAGGGGATCCAGGAGCATGGAAGATACTTTCCTGGGCCGATGGCACAATTTCACTTTGTGCTGTGGCCCCCTTGCCCTGGGTGCCCTGTGGTGGGTGAAGAAAGCCACCCCTGTAGTCAGGGGGCTCTCACATAGCTCACCTTTATAGGCTCGAGACCACCCAACCCCCGACTCCCTCACTTACAGGTAGGGAAGCTGAGGCCCAGGCAATGGAGGCCCGGCCTTGTCTTGATTATCTGGGTTCACACATCTCCCATTCATTAAGAATCTCCTGCAGCCTCCGGGGTTCCATGGGCACATCTCTGCCTCCTCCAAGATGCCTTCCCTGACCCATGTATGCCCCATGCACAAAGCAGGCACTCAAAAGATATATGAGGCCTGTGGAGGCACCATGGCCTCCCTTCTGCCCAGGCTGGATGGTCCTGCTCCATGGACTGAAGTCTCCTTCTAGAGTAAACTTCTGAAAAGGACCAGGCAGTAAATATTTTTGGCTTTTCAGGCCATCTGGTCTGTCATAGCTACTCACCTATGGTACAAAAGCAGTCACAGCAGCGTGTAAGTGAATGGGCATGGCTGTGCCAATAAAACTTTATCCACAAAAGCAGGCAGTGGGCCAGAGGTGGCCTCTAGAATCCCAGCTGGGAACAGGTCTACCCACCGAGCCCACTGCTCACCTCCCTACCCAGGGAGGCAGAAGGGAGGCCACCCGCTAGCTCCACCATATCACAGCCTAGCTGGGAAGCCTCAGCAAGGACAGGCCAGAGCAGGACAATTTGCTTCTTATGGAGCCAAGCCTGGCCTAGCAGGGAGGATCAGAGTACACAGCATCCTTGGGCTAGGGGCTGGAGGGAAACTAGCCTTCTCCCCCACAACCCTTGCCTGGCAATGAGGCTGGCCTTCTCTCCCCCTATCCATGCCAGGGGAGGGCCCCTAGTAGACGACCACACAGCCTCATCTGGGGGCTTCCCCGCCTGGGAGCCGCTGCACAGCACACATGGGTTATGAGGTGTGACCCGACAGAGTCAGGACAAAGGATGGAGGAGACCCTTGGCCCTCCCAGGACTTACCACAGCTTCAGACACCTCTGGCACAATGCTCCATTGTATTCTCCAGCCCCTGGCAAACAGGAAGCAACCACACACCTTTAAAATAGCGTTGCCTGCTAGCAGCGTGTTAGGGTGATGATGGCATCGAATCACCAGCCTGTATTCCCAGCTGGGCTTGAAGGGGGGTCCTTCCATGCCAGCCAGACAGGGAGAAAAGGGGTTCCCCAAACCCCCTGCCATGTGCCTCCAAGACCACCGGGGCTGCTCCCTAGCTCTAGAGAGTAGGTGATTCCTGACCCCTTCACTGTGCTCCCGGGGTCCTCCTGCAGAGAGGGGACACACTTAAAAGCAGCCAGAGGTATAGGAGTAGAGAAGCCCCTAGGCAAAAAGCAGCTGAAGCAGCAACAGCAAGTGCCTGAGTTAATCCTGCCTCAACTCTGGGCCCCAAGGACTCCTGAATGTTTTCTACTAAAAACATTTCCAAGTGAACCCACTTAAGTAGGCAGGAACTTTACAGGGCACAGAGCCCTTCTGGCTTCATCAACCACCCTCTGAGATTGGGAGAACTTCCTTGCAACGTGGGGAGAGGTGCTGAAGTGACCCCCCCAGCTGGTCCCCTTGGCCACCCAGGGTAAGATTGGGAACTACCTGCTGCCATCTCCAGCAAACCAGGGAGGGGGCAGCTGTCCTGCTTGGGGTGGGGGACTCTGGATCCTGTCAGAGGACCTCTCCCCAAATGCCAGTGCATGATGTACCCATCTGGAGTCACAGTTGTGACAGGGAGGCAGTACAGTCACACACATTGTGGGATAAAGCAGCCATAAGACAAACCAGCTCACCTACCTGGCGATGAGGTAATTGAGGGATAACCTTAGAATTGCTAGAAATAAGAATAATGGGATGGCCCAGCCGTGCCACACGGCGTTCATGTACACCTGTGAATTAGAGAAAGAAGGGGGAGGTTAGGCAACCTGACAGTTTGGTTCAGGACAAGACCCATCCCTCCCACCTTCCCCAGTCAGAAAGCACTCAGTGGGGAGACCAGGTCCCATGGTCCTCTAACCTCAGGAATGAGGGGAGCATATGATGGGGAAGCCGGAAGAAGGCAGCTTCCCTGGCTAAGAGTTGCTGGTGGAAGAGAGGGAGGCAATAGGATGAGAAGCCATACAGGGTGGCAGGAGGGGGCAAGTCCTACAGAAGCAGCTGCTGGGCATGGACCAGGATCATGAGGAGAGACAGTTCCACATGGGGTCCTGGCCTGGCCCAGATATGACTCCTACACACCGAACTTGGGACATTACCAGGACTCAGCCAGGCTGAGTGAGGCAGCCAACCACAGGCTGAGAATGGGCCAGGTGAAGTGCCACTGGGGTCACCTTCACTCTGGGCCCCTTCCGTGCCCAGCAGAGCTCACAGAGCAGATGATCAGAGGGGCAGGGAATGGAATCCAACCAAGTCCAGGTGGAGGCCTGGAAGATGGGTCTGAACCTTGGGCTCATCTTGGCACTAATAGACACGGTATGGAGGTATCTGGGAGTAGAGGCAGTGGAGGTCTCCCAGTACAAAGCGTTTGTGAGAAGCTGGCGGGAGAAGAGGCCAAGGTGCAGTTGAATAAGTGCGCAAAGGTGCTCGTCTCCCAGGTAGACAGCGACTTCAGAGACTTGCCCAGGGGGCCTGTCCCGTGGCGGGGATCAGGATAGTCCTTGAGACCCTTCTAGGCTAATGCCATCTGGGGACTTCTCAGCAGGACAGTGCTGCCTTCGGGATCTTTGGAGAGTGCCCTGGACTGTGGCCACCCCTCTCTGACCTGGAGGCCCCAAAGATAGGTGGGTAGACTACACCGCTCTCATACATTCCCCCCACCCCCAGGTCACAGGGCTCCTGTGGAGGACAAAATACCAAGAAACAGACAGAAGGTCTTTCCACGCATGGCTGCCAGCAGCCACTGCAGGACAACTCCCAGCAGGGCACTGGGCCTATTTTCCCCAAGCCCCTGGCAATGCCAGACCAATGTCCTCCTATCCTCCCAGGACTCAAGGCTCAGAGAGGCCGGGCTGGGTCCCCCACATAGACTGGGCCCCCAGTATTCTCATTACCAGGAGAGGCCTCAGGTTCCACAAAGGCAAGCAAGCCAAGCAGCTGCTGTTCTAAATGGCAAGCTATCAAGACCCTTTCCTGAGAATACTGCTGTGAGGGTGCACCTGTGCAAACAATGGTGACCACGACCCTTTCCAGGGAGCCCTGGGCTGTACCCAACATCTCTGGTGCCTCAAACAACTGCACAGCTGGGGGTCAGCATCACTTTACAGACAAAGAAACGAAGGTAGACCATGTCCCTGGTGCCCAAGCAGAGCTGCCTGGAGGGCTGTCCCGACCTCGCAGGTGGGTCCCTTGGGAAGGCACCGGGCTGCATGGTGAGGGTTGGCAGCCACGTCCCAGTCCACCCCGCCCTTCGAGGAGCCACTCACGGTGAAGGCAATGGCAGATGTGTAGATGGAGTACCAGTCGGATAAGGCAGAGAGGTTCTTCACAAAGTTTGTGACAGGCTTGGCACCGCGCTCTGGGGACAGAGCAGACCGCAGCAGTCAGCCCAGCACTTGCCTGGCCCGGCCTGCCTTCTTGGGTGCACACACAGGGTCAGGCTGGCCTCCCCAGCTTGATGCAAAACCAAAAGGGGCAATGCAAATTGTGAACCACCATAGCCTCCAAGGCCTGCCCCTGAGGCCAGTGCTCCCTCCTGACACTGTCTGCTCTCCCCGCGTGCCTGCACCCAGGAGAAAGGGAAACAGGCAAAGATGAGGGGAAGGTTTCACCCACTTCCTGAGGGACCAGGGGGAATCTGAAAAAAAGCATCATTTTTCATCCTAAATGTTGGGGGCTCTGGGCCCTGGAGGAAAAACTCTGCTCTCAGCCACAGGGTAGGGGCAACCAGAGTGGACCCCACCTCTCCCAACCCCCAAATGTGGGTGGCCCTCAGACAGACTTCCAATATGAGCCTCCTTCCCAAGGGCCTGGGGCAGTTCAGCTCAGGGCATCTTTCTGGAGGGACGTTCAGCTCAGGACCCCAGAGTCCCCGCTGTGGTTCCCCCACACCACGCCTCCCCGTGGGCACCACACCACGTTGCTCATACTCACTTAGTCGTCTCATGTTTTCAGTTAACCTAGAAGAGAGGGGAGAGATGGGCGCCCCAGTGTTAACTCATCAGCCAGCTCTGCAGTCCCCATCACCCATACCCTGCTGGCTTGCAAGGGCCAGGGATGATGTCCCAAGTGTCCAGGACCCCTCGGATGCACGAAACTGTCAGGTATAGTGACTCAGTACAGCACTGTGTGCTGGGATGGCCCTCTCTGCGCTCCCCAAGTTAGGAAGGTAGAGGCGACTCACCAATGGAATTGCCCCCTCCATCTCCTGTCTACACCCCCTCTCCCCACCCCCCACAAGGGAAGTGCCCCAGAGCAGGGGCCTCACTGATCTGGCTCCCCCAGGGTCCCCAAGGCCTAAGGCAGCACCTGGCAAGGGGAGCCGAGGTTTATCAGTTAGGCACATAACCAATGAGCTGAGCTGACTGCCCGGCCCAGGGAAGGGTCCCTGGGCAGTGATCACTCAGCCCTGAGCCCACTGTCTCCATGTTTGCCACAAACCACAAGTGAGAGCAGAGTGGATATGACATGACTCTGCTGCACCTGAACTAGTCTCGCAGGCACGTCCTGCGAGGCACGTCCCCCAGAAAGATGGGCACAGCAAAGCCTCCAGGAGTGATCACGGACAGCTTGGGCTCATGTGTCAAATGCTGGCCTGTCTGCTGAAGCCCCTAATACACAGCTGCTTCCACCTCCCCCAGACCCAGGAAGCACCTCTACCTGCGGGCACTGAGGGGCTCCTCCGTCTCCACAGTATTCTCTTCAGGCTGAAACCGGAAGTCCTCCACATACTCCCCAAACCTCTCATAGAACCACTTCTGCAGGCGAGAGGACAGCCCCTGGCTCCGGCGGTCTGCAGGCAGGCAAAGGCCTGGTAAGGACACCGTGGGACTGCATGGCCTATTCTGGGGCTGGTACTCAGGGCACAGAGAGGGCTCACGGCAAGGGCCTGGCCAGCAGGGGCAATGTCACAGGGCACGCTTTGAAGGTGGGGGCTTCCCTCTGGAGCTCGGAAATGAAGGATCTGTGCTGGAAGGGACTTTGCAGGGCTTGGTCCTCTGAAGATACAAGGTATCAAATGCAGACCAGACCCAATGGTAAAGACATCACAGCTTGGGGTCTTGGGTTTCTCACATCCCATCCCCAGCAATCTGCATATCCTAGGCTGTCTCTAGCTTCCAGTCACTGTCTGTCTAGACCATTTCTCAGGCCGCCTTAGGGGTATGAACTTTCCTTTCTACCTCTGGTTAGTCTGGAAAGTGGCTGGGTGGGGTCACCATCCCCAAGGCCTGCGGATCCTAAGGACCAGTCAGTGTGTGTAAGACGACGCAGCCCAGTAAGCAAATGGGAGGGTCCAGTAAGTAAAACAGCTGGCTTGGGGGGAGTGAGGACATGGTAACATAGTGTTGGTGACTTACAGTCTGTTCGTCAACAGCTAAGACCCTTAGAAAGCAGCCCATATCACAGAAAACCAGAAGAATCCTGCCCGAAAGGGAGCTCAACGGTGCAGACCAATCTGTCCCTTCAGAAAGCCAGTGGGGGCTGGGTACAGTGGCTCATGCCTGTAATCCCAGCACTTTGAGAGGCTGAGGTGGAAGGATTGCTTGAGCCCAGGAGTTCGAGATAATCTTGAGCTCTTGAGCAACATAGCAAGACCTTTAAAAAAAAAAAAATCAGCCGGGCTCGGTGGCTCAGCCTGTAATCGCGCGCCTTTGGGAGGCTGAGGTGAGTGGATTGCCTGAGCCCGTGGGTTCGAGACCCGCCTGGGCAGCGAGACCTCATCTCTACAATAAATCAAAAAATCAGCCTGGCGTGGTAGTGCATGCCTGTAATTCCGGCTACTTGGAAGACTGAGGCGGAAGGATCACCGGGGCCCAGCAGGTTGAGGCTGCAGTGGCCGGGAGCGGCCACTGCACTCCAGTCTGGGCGACGGAGTGAGACTCCAACTTAAAAAAAAAAAAAAAAAATCAAAAATTAGCTGGGCATGGTAGCGCATGCCTGTCATCCCAGCTACTTGGCAGGCTAAGGCAGGAAGACTACCTAAGCCCAGGAGGTCAGGGCTGCAGTAAGCCTCAATCAGGCCACTGCATCAGTCTGGGCAACACAGTGAGATCCCAACAACAACAACAAAACAGAAAGAAAGCCAGTGTGGAGTCGTCCACAGGGGGCGCTGTCCCACCGTAATTTAAAGGAGTGGGACTGGAGGGCAGGTGGGCACTAACAATCTGATGTGTTGTGGGCTCGGGGTAGAAGCCTAAGGGCCACAGGCCAAGAGTGGCTGAGGCTTGTATTGTACACCATGAGGCCACCTAGGCAGGGAGAATGTGAGCGGGACAGGCTCCTGGGGCTGCTTCTGGAAACCCTCTGAAGCCCAGCAGGGGCAGCCTAGGCAAGGCAAACCTATTCTGGCGGTGGCAGGCAGCCGTAAACGAATGGGCACAGCTGCGTTCCATGGACTTTATTTATGGATGCTGAAATTTCAGATTTATATAACGTTCACATGTCATCAAACAGTCTTTTGATTTTTTTCAACCATTTAAAAATGTAAAGCAAGGCAAGGGTGGGTGGGGGCTGTAGTTTGGTGACCCCCAGGCCCAGGGGACTGTACCTGCTCCTGAGGATAGCATGCTTCACCTTGTCCTGAAGCCCACCTGTCAGGCCGGGATACTGGGCCCCCAGTGTTCTCATTACCAGGACCAGGCAGATTTTTCTGTCCAGCCCCCTCTAATTTCCCATAATGCAAGAAAAACCCTTCCAGAGCCCTCATACCTTTTCACAACTGGCTCCTGTCACCAGGACTTGCCACGGGACCCCTGTGCTTCTGTCTCACTGTTCAGGGCACAGAATGGGCATCTGGCCCCACCTCCCACCTTCTCCAACCCCTGGAGGGTACCCAGGGCTGCAGGGGAGGGCCAGCACCTCCTCCCTCTGCTGCACTCCCTGCAAAACAGCCCACCACATCGTATGACCATGGCAATCAGAATAAACCGCCACTTGAGGACAGGCCTCGGCGGGGAGGACAAGGCCATGAGGACCTAGGGAGTTGGGCTCTTTCTACCCTATGCTTCTACAACCCTCACTAGTCACTGACCACCAGGGGTCTTCGGGTCTCTTGTGCTGCTCGTGGCTTGGTGGCCTGAGTGCACAGGCCAAGAGCTTTATGCTCCAAGCTTGGGTCACTGGCATGGAGCCCGAGGGCCCAAGGAGGCCACAGCCCAGGGGATGCAGCAGCCAAACCTGTACTTGGGCAGGCCCAACAGTGGGTCCAGCAGCCAGGTCCATGGGAAAGGTGACACCACTGCTCCCTCTAGAAGCAAGCTCGGCAAAGCTCAGGGCAGGACCCAGCTCTGGTCCAAGCTGCGCCTCTACCTGGTGGGGACCCCAGTGGCACTTCCCTCCTGGGGCCTCCGATTTCTTATCTTTATACTGGGAGGGCTCAACAATGACCTAAGACCCTTCTAGTTTAACTCTGGCTTCACTGGCACAGGCAGGGAGGCCCTTGTGAGTGATCAGCCTATAGAAATGGGCAGCCCCTTCGAATATACATGAGAGGCCACAGCCCAGTGGGAAATCCAGTTCGCTCCCTCAACATTCTCTGAACGACAATTTTAAAAAGTACAGTGTGGAATAAGATAAAGAACAAAGGTTCAGGGGTGGGAAGACAAGGAGAAGACAGGAAAGCGCTCTCTCTCCTGACCCCGGGGTCTGGGGCACATCCCAGCCTTGGTCCCCCCCTTGCCCACTCAGTCAGGACGACCAGCCACAGGAAACAGGCCACCAGGTCAGTGGCAGAGTAACCAGTGTGACTCTCACACCCTTCTCCGTGGGGCAGGGCTGAAACAGACAATGCGTTGTACTCCTATGAGAAAATACTGTCACGCTTTGGTTGAATGACTAGAGTTTGCTATGATGACTCACCACTTGGCAATTAGAGACACTAACCCAGTTCTGGTGGGAGGAGGTTCCCGGATGCCAGTGGGTGCCCAGGGAACAGAACCAACACCCGCCACCCACCCAAGGGAGCCTACCTGCTCCATTGTTGACCTGGCTCTGCCCTTTTGGCGGCTGCTGAGCTGTCTGCTCCTCGGTTCTTAAAAAAGAAAGGAGAGAAGAGGCAAGATGTGTCTGTTAGTTCAAACATCAGTGCCAAGTTAGGCTGTGCAGAGTTCCGAGGCTCACGTGGATTCATCCTGCATGGAAGGGTGTGAGGTCAGTGGGGTTCTCTCTTGAGAGTTCCCAGCTGCTGAGACATTGATTAGGACGGTAGCAATACACAGAGCTGCATTCCTAATGGGCACTTGTTTTGTTTTTAGTAAACAAATAAATGGTATCTCATACAACTCTTTAATTTCCATTAATTTTAACACACTTGCTTCTTTCCATCAAGCTCAGAATACTCTTCTATCAGCCGGGTGCAGTGGCTCACGCCTATAATCCCAGTACTTTGGGAGGCCAAGGTAAGAGGATTGCTTGAGCCCACGGGTTCGAGATCAGCCTGGGCAACTTGGTGAGATCTCATCTCTACAATGAATCAAAAAATTAGCAGGGCATGGTGGTGCATGCCTGTAGTTCCAGCTACTTGGAAGGCTGAGGCAGAAGAATCACCTGAGGCCAGCAGGTCGAAGCTGTGGTAGCCATGAGTGTGCCACTGCACTCTAGCCTGAGCGACAGAATGAGACTCCAACTCAAAAAAGGAAGGAAGGAAGGAAGGAGGCAGGGAAGGAAGGAGGC